TGACTTCGACATTTTGTTTTAATAAAACTTAGTATCGAAAAGTTTCTTTAAAAATTTGCCTAGGCTATATTATACTGGTTTGTCCAAGCCATTTTTCAAAACTTACAAAGGTAAATATATTTTTAGTATTCAATACAAAATTTTACCAAAAAGTACTGCGTAGTAGGAAAGTATATTGTAAATGAAATTGTATCAACCAAGTACAATTGTACCAAAAATGCCAACACTGTTCTGTATACATACTTATTTTTCTTTTTTACTTTTTTACTCTTATTTTATCTTTCAGCTTCGCTAAAAGCACTTCTACCAACGCTTGGCTTACCAAGCTTACTCCAATTGATAAAATTTTGCGATTTAAATTCATTTTCAATAATGTAAATAACGATTCGTGTTGAATCGAAAATCGCCTCGTCTCATTCAACTTCGTATTCAACTTTTGTTGCCTGTAAAATCGCCGCCTGCGAATGCCCTATTATCCATGAAACCTCGAGGGGTTTCCCAAATATACTCTGGCTCGTATCGCTGGATTGTTAAATAAATGCTCACGATGACCAAATTGTAGTACAATTAACTTTATTGTACAACAAACAATTTACAATACTCGCTAATACAGTAAAAACACTTTACAATACTTGTTAAAGCAATAACAACGCTTAACTTAACTTGTTAACACAATTAAATTTATATCTTGCTTATTCGCAACTCACTTCTCTGCTCACTTGTAGCTTGCTGTCTTGTAACTCACTCAACTCCGCTGTGTTCTGGCTCTTATATACCTGCGCTCGCTCTCATGGCAACTCTAGAACGTTCTAAAGTTTATCGCTCATTCTCTTTCTCTCGCTGTTCGCAGTGTTCATCCAACTTGACGTTTCTCTTAGTGGAACATTCTACGTCATTCCTCGAACATTCAGCCTATTTCTCGTTGTTCGCTTCGCGTTGCCGCAGTATTCGCCACAGTATATACCGTAACGTACGCAAATAGCGATTCTGGCCACACCAGCAACCAGTTATCAATGCGTGCTCATTTAATGCATATATTAACGTGAATTTAACATTAGCAAACATGAACCAATTAGAACAGATCTGACCAATTGAGAAGCAGCCATTTGTAATAGCAATTGAGAAAAAACTGTATGACGTTCGTAATTTTGAAGCTTGCTATTTCTGTTTTGCTTCTTTCTTTATGTGTTATTTGTCGGTGGTTTATTTCAGTGATTTTTAAGCGATGTTCAATAAATTTTTTGTGTAAATGTAATTAAAATGAAGTGCGCGGTGATTGATGGCAAAAACATGTACAAAATAATAGTTTGGTTAGCACAAACATGTGCTGCAAAATTGCTTGAATTTTTTCTTTGTGCTTCGTCTTTATATTCTTTGTTTACTTTTCATAGAAAATAACATGGCGCCGAAATTACAAACGTCAGCCAGAAAATTACTTTTTTCTTTTGCTTCATCTTGTCAGATCTTGTGTAGTTGGATCATGATTAGCAAAGTGACCTATATAAAACCGGTTCACAAATAACTTTTGAACGGTTAGTAAAATAAATTTCGGAAGGACCATAAACCACTCTGTTACCAATATTGTATTTAAAAAACTCGCTGTACGAAGATTATTGTACTATCTGTACGTAGAGACGAATGTCAAATTAAAACAATCGATAGTGATAAAAATGAAATGTATTTATTATCGAAAGTGCAGTCGACTATACTGCAACACTACTCTACGCTTGCTTTTACACTGCGGGCGATAATTTAATTTGAAGTTTGTTGTATGTAAATATGGGAGATTTGCTGTTAATTTTGCAGACAATTAATCATCGAATGTGAATTATGTTATTGTGTCAATAGCTATTTAAAGTGCAGCTTTGTTTTATATAGAATGAAAATTTCAACGAAGTGATGGCAATGGGATAAAATAAACTTTAATATCCATACGTATATGTACATATGTTCTTGTCATCAAAACCAAGTGAAGTTCCTATTTAAATGCCCGGTTAATGATATATTTCCCATAATTCAGACTGAATAAAATGCAATTCAACGTAACTTGAAGAAGTTTAAATTTGCGATGCAGAAAATATATTGGATATTCATACTTACATACGCATGTGAATAAGGAAGATAAGCCAATATAAAGGCATCGGATTTCAATATTTGCTTCAGTAGGTAAGTCTGTGAAAAACTACTTGGTTCTAATTGTTATTGTTTAGCAATGATGCTTGGCATAGTGAAAAGCGATGCACTTCTCAAATTGCATCATGTGTAAGTGGACAAATTTAAAAGTATTCTGAAGAAAAAAAAAACAACAATCTAGTTAGAGTTAATAAGACAATTGTCTTATTAGCTGGACAAGTGCACGTACCAAGCGTTTTACGAGAATCGAAGAGGTAAAAAATGCTGATTTTTCCTATTCAAGTAGAATTTTATTATGTAGTAGGTACCTAAATACATATCGTGGGTGGGCTTTCCAATAAGGGCAGTTGTTTTGGGGGTATTTCTCTAGTATAGGGTAACAACCACTAAAAAAGGTCCGGAAAAGTCGAGAGCGGTACCAAACGACGCGTTTCGGTCCCCCTATTAACAATCCGGAGGGGAGGGCTAATATTATTAACCATTTAAAAGTTATAAACAAAAAAAATTTTGTTAAATTTCGTTGTTTTCTATGAGCAATTACCACGTCAAAAATGCACTAAATCACCAGTTTAAAACACTATTAAAACGTCTCCGGTTGTTGTTTTATGCAAACAAAATCATTTATTCACTTTTATTAACCGACTTCCAAAAAGGAGGAGGTTATCAGTTCGTCGGAATATTTTTATTTTTTTTTATTTTTTTATGTATGTGACCGCATAACTTTGGACCACGTCAACCGATTTCGATAATTCTTTTTGCATCGGAAAGGTAGTGTCTCAGAGGTGGTCCCATACTAATCTGGTTAAGATCCGATCAGCGGATCATGAGATATATATATATATATTTTTTTATATGAGAGTTGAAGTCGGTTTTTTTTTTGCTAAAAATTACTAGTTTTATATATTTCGTTAATAAAACAGAGTAAACAAACTGCGCCTGCCAAAATTATTATAACTTCAAATCGCTGATATTGCCACTTTATTTCACATTTCATTTGCGCTATTATACTAAGACTTCATAAAGCGTCGTCCATCCTCTTTTGTTTAAATTTGGTTGGGAGGCCACGCCCCCTTTCCCTCGGCCCCGACCCAAAATCGTTGCACAAATAAGCAAAGATTTCCCGTTGTTTTTGCAGGACGGAAAATAACCATTTTTTTAAATTTTAACCAAAAAAATCAACAAGTTGTAGTCATCGTAAAACAATTTTGTTTATACCCACGTATTTGTTGTTGTTGTTGTTGTTGTTGTTGTTGTTGTTGTTGTTGTTGTTGTTGTTGTTGTTGTTGTTGTTGTTGTTGTTGTTGTTGTTGTTGTTGTTGTTGTTGTTGTTGTAGCGGCTACAGCAACCCCGCCCAGATCGGCTGATATCTCAGTCGTTGTCGTCGAGTTCCACTAACGACAGCCCCAAGAAGCGTGCAGCCTCTATGGGGTCAGTCCATAGGGACGACGCCGTTAGGGTTGTGGGGTTTTCCGGGCATGCGAAGGGATGTTTCGAGTCGTGAGGGGTCTCTCCGCATGCCGGACATTCGTTCGGCACATCCGCATTTAACCTACACAGGTAGGAATTCAGCCTGCTGCAGTAGCCAGAGCGAAGTTGAGCTATTGTCGTTCTGGTCTCCCGAGGCAGATGGAGCCCCGTCATGTCAATTTCCGGTGTTTGTGTGCTTAGAACGGCATTCACAGGTCTTGAGTCTACATAACTCGAGACTGCGTCCCTGTGAATGCCGTTCAGGGCCTGTCTATGAGCTGACGGGTCCAGAGGTTGCTTAATGAACCTCTGGACTTCGTCCGTCAGTTCATATAGATGCCTCCTGACGTGCCTCGGCGAGGGCTCCTGTGCAAGCAGCTGTCTATTTGGGTGGCCACATCTGTGGCTCCCAACAAGAAACTGCTTGCAGAGCATCGTGTTGTGCTCCCTAATTGGGAGCATTTTTGCCTCATCGTGGAGGTGGTGTTCTGGTGACATCAGGAGGCATCCTGTCGCTGTCCTGAGTGCTGTATTTTGATNTATTTTTCTAAGTTTGCTCGATTTGTCTCTAAACATTACCGACGAGTGTCGACCACTCAGATAATTCGCCGACCACCGTTTGAGCCTCTGTGGGAGAGAGGAAGCTTCTATATCTTCTAGTAGCGTGGAATGGCTGACGGTGTCAAACGGCTTTGACAGGTCCAACGCTACTAGAATAACTCTCTCACAGGGACGGTTGCGGTTAAGGCCACGAGTTATCTGAGTGTTTATGGCGATAAGTGCTGTTGTTGTACTGTGCACTTTACGGAAGCCATGCTGATGCTTCGCTGGGGTCAAGTGGTTGGTGAAGAACAGGAGTAGCAAGGCCTTGAGTGTATTCGCTACCAGGGAAAGGAGTGTTATCGGACTATAAGAATCTCCTATGTTGGCGGGTTTCCCCGGTTTGAGCAGTGGGACCACTCTCCCCATCTTCCAGATGTCTGGGATGATGAGAGTGGCCATGGACAAATGGAGGACCTCCGTTTGGTACGCTACCCCCGCAGGACCTACATTTTTCAGCATCAGCATGCATATTCCGT